CCGCCATCTCACCTCCACCACCTTCCACAACTACGACCTCGACCCACTTGCCAATTCCAAGGTACCTTCGAGTTTATTATATCACTCATATACCATTTTTGTATATCTAAACCACCGTATATTATATCACTCATATACCACTTTTGTATATCTAAACCACCGTATATCATCGATATACAGGTTTTCAAAAAAAACCTTTTTTAGTTAATTAATTTTTCCATTAGTATTTGGGAATTAATTGTAGTTTTTGCAAGGCTATGAAATAATTGAACTAATAAACGAGACTCATGTTTTCTTCTACCGTGTGCAAGGCACTGAAATTGGTGTCGCTCGACCCCGACCTAAAGGCGCGGATGGTGTTCCACACGTGCGACATCTTGAGCGTCGGGGACGAGTTGAGGAAGTACGAGGTTGTGTTTTTGGCGGCGTTGGTGGGGATGGAGAAGGAGGAGAAGTTGAGGGTTATAGAGCATTTGTGGGAGTTTATGTCGGAGGGGGCTTATTTGATGGTGAGGAGTGCAAATGGAGGGAGGGCTTTTCTTTATCCAGTGGTGGATGATTGTGATTTGGTAGGGTTTGAGGTTCTGTCTGTGTTTCATCCCACAGATGAAGTGATCAATTCTGTCATAATTGCAAGAAAAAAGACAAGATTCGAGGAAAATGAGGATGATCATCAGCTGATTAGTACTATGAATAATAATAGTAACAATGGTGTTGTGGCTAATAAGTGCTGTGAGATTCAGAGCTTCAATAATAATAATCATGGAGGACTGATTGAGGAATTTGCCATGGAAGCTGCTGAGCAATTCACTTGAATTATTGTTACTGTGATCTCATTATTTACGGTCATGATCATCTGTAAGTGGGTCTCTAATTCTGATTAAGATTCTGAAAAATGTGTGTTCCATTTCAATATGGCAACTTTTTTGAGATTTTATTTTTGGGTTTTGTTTATGTTCTTCAGTTAATTTGGGTCATTCTTGAAAATGGACCCTTTTTCTACAGTTATGTTGTAATAATTTTGTGCAATAATGCTGTCATATTAATTATATATGTGCCTCTCACTTTTTGATGCTTCTTTTTTCTGTTTCTTTTATCTTGAATTTGCAATAAGTATAATGAGAGGGGTTTGAAGTTTCGATTTTTTCAAATAGATATGAGATTTTGGTTGTTTTTGGTCAGTCATTTCACGTTTATTGTTTCTTGTTATTACTTCTTTAGAAATATATAATTGAAATTGAGTCGGGTACGTAACTAACTTTTTCCCTTGTTCTTTTGTCTTTGGTGAGAACAAAAACATAGACGATGTTTCTTTCTAACAATTTCTTGTTTGTTGATCTCTTAAATTTTATATTGTTTATTGGTTATGTACTTTATATATACACAACATAAGAAAATGATAAAGATAAAAAGATAATGTTTTCATTTATGGAACAAGCAACAATAGAAATTAGTTTTTGCAGTTTCTAAAATTGCTATATTGTGATCAGACAAAGATTATAACATTGTTTTGTTGATGATAATCTTTTGCTAGCTTCATAAAACTGGGAAAATTCTTCAAATGGTTTAAAAGTGATTTAGTCTTTTAGCTTATTTAAAAAAAAAAAAAATCTAAAACCAAATTGCATATACATTAGGGACAAAATTGAAATCAATTAACATTTTTGGAGTTTCGATTCTACGCTTTTGGCAAATTACTAATATTTAGAGAAAAAAAAAATCCTATAAGCTTGGAGGGTATATATTTAAGACCAAAGTATATCTATTGTGAATTTTGATGAGTAGCAGCTTGATAATGTTCTTGTGTTCACTTAGTGCTTTGTTCTAAAGTTTCATTAATTTCGTATCATATTTGTAAATTCAAAAGATTATGAGCAAAATTAAAATCAACCATAGGCGCAAAATTAGTTAGAACACATTAAATATTAGGTAATTTTATATAATTTATTTTATTACTAATGTTTTAAAAATTTTAATTGTAACTGTAATTGCTAATTAATGATTTTTTTCTAACAAATGAAAAAGGATGGAGTAAAATATTGAAACTTTGAAGAGAACCGAGATAAGAAAAAAAAATGCATATATACTCTTGGGGCTATTTTTCACAATTTTAACCTACAATTTTTTGTTCACTAAAAAAGATTTAACTACTATTTTTGTTGGTATGTCTCATGGTATAATTTAGTCTTAAATTTTAAATTATAATAATTTAGTTCGATTTTGTCTTTGAAATCATGTAGCAATTTAGCCTACATGTAGTTCACAATTTATAATAATTTGGTTCCTATCATGAAAAGAATTATTAAAATTATGAAATGTTATATTTTTATTAGGTAATAATTTAATCTTTATAGTACTAAACTACTATATTACAAATTTTAAATTATAGAAATTAAATTATTACAAATTTAGAAGTATAGAAATTAAATCGTTATATACTAAATTCAGGGGCGAAATGATAACTCTAGTGAAAAGTACAAAGATGAATATATTTTTAATTGTCAAAACGAATAGCTCACGATAATTGACATATGTCTCAAAGTTGGATCCCTACCCCATATATTGTATTAAAGAAAAATATATATTTTTAATTTTTTTTGTTTACTTTTTAGGAATAATTGAACCAATTTACAAAAATTCACGAGTTTAAATAATATTTTAACTTTTGTAATTTCAGTTTTTCTACTATTTTAACTTTAACGCAATTTTACATACTTTTTAATATAAATTTGTAATTACGTTTAAAGAAATTTATTTATTGAGTAAAATATTATGACCAATAATACGAGATAAAAAAGAAAAGGGAGGAAAGAATATGATTATTTTTCAGAAACTATAAAGATCAAAATAGACGTTTGAAAAATAATATGATTTTGAAAGTAAAAAATTTTTCATTATAAAAGAATAGTAAAAAACTTCTTTTTCGTACTGTACAAGTAAAACGCTTCAAAAAGTAGTGGATGAACTGAAATAATTTAAACCTATGCAAAACTTGATCAACAAAAAAATGATTGAAATTGTTGCCAACATGAGCATAATCGAGTGGTAATTGATACATATATTTTCCATATCCCCAAATTGTATCGTACTACCAAAAATTATATTACTCATGATACTTTATAAATGCCCATATTCTTTTAGTTATTTAATGCAAATATTTAAATTAATAAATAACTAAATAAATACAGTAATTAATCAATACCTTAATTCAAAGTTTAAGATTTTATTTATTTATTAAAAATTTATAAATATGTATAATTTAGTAATTTTCACATTAGACAGTTGAAGCTAGTTGCGTTGTTATCCAAGAAAGAAAGCATGGGAATTAGTCTTTCGCCGAAAAGCATAAATCCACATGGAGAATTCAAGATGGATCAGCAACTGGAGAAGACGAAGAAGAGTCCGTGGGTGGAAGAACAAGGACCCAACTACCATAAACGCAGCGTACGAAGGGACCACAAGCCTTCTCAACAGTGTATTGTATTGTGTATAAATGATTTTGGCTCCGTTCTCTTTCATCAGCAGAGCAAAAGATGAGCTCAATCACCGCCGCACACTTCCCTTCTCCCCTCAGGCCACATGAATCCGCGGCGATTCCCACATCGAAACTTCCACAGAAAACAATTTTGAAGTTTTTCGACACCAAATCCGTCACTTCTCTGCAATATCTGAGCCAAGTTCATGGACTTGTATTGAGAAGCGGCCATTTCCAAGACCATTATGTCTCTGGCGCGTTGCTCAAGTGTTACGCCAATCCCCATTTCAGCAATTTGGACTTCGCTTTGAAGGTATTCTCCTCCATCCCAAATCCCAACGTTTTCATTTGGAATATTGTGATTAAAGGGTGTGTAGAGAACAACAAACCGTTTGAGGCTATTTACTTCTATGGTAGGATGGTTACCGATGCTAGGCCCAATAAATTCACGTACCCAACTCTGTTCAAAGCTTGTTCTGTGACGCAAGCAGATCAAGAAGGGAGGCAAATCCATGGCCATGTGGTGAGACATGGCCTTGGCAGCGATATGCATATCAGAAGCGCTGGAATTCAAATGTATGCCTCTTTTGGCAGCTTAGAAGATGCATTCCAACTTTTTGATAACGGTGAATCTGATGTTGTCTGTTGGAACACAATGATTGATGGGTACATGAAATTTGGGGATTTGGAAGCTGCAAAAGGATTGTTTGAGCGAATGCCAACCAGAAATACTGGCTCATGGAATGTTATGATCAATGGTTTTGCTAAGGGTGGGAAGTTGGACGATGCAAGGAAGGTGTTTGATGAAATGAGTGAAAGAGATGAAATTACCTGGAGCTCTATGGTAGATGGTTACGTATCAGCAGGTTGTTACAAGGAAGCATTGGAGATTTTTCATCAGATGCAAAGAGAGAAGATTGGGCCTGGAAGATTCATTTTGTCCAGTGTTTTAGCTGCTTGTTCCAGTATTGGAGCCGTTGATCAGGGGAGGTGGGTTCATGCTTATCTCAAGAGGAACTCCATTAAACTGGATGCAGTGTTGGGGACTGCCTTGTTGGATATGTACGCAAAATGTGGGCGGCTGGACATGGCATGGGAGGTGTTTGAAGAAGTGGAAGAAAGAGAGGTCTTCACCTGGAATGCCATGATTGGTGGGCTTGCTATACATGGAAGAGCAGAGGATGCACTTGAGCTTTTCTCTAAGATGCAGAAGGGGAGGCTGAAACCGAATGGAATCACGCTTGTTGGTGTCCTAAGTGCTTGTGCTCATGCAGGCCTTGTCGACAAAGGCCTGAGAATTTTTGAGAATATGAAAGAGTTTTATGGCATTGAGCCTGAAATGGAACACTATGGATGTGTGGTCGATTTGCTAGGGAGGTCAGGGTTGTTTTCTGAAGCAGAGGTTTTAATAAGCTCAATGCCCATGAAGCCCAATGCAGCTGTTTGGGGAGCACTCTTGGGTGCCTGCAAGATTCATGGAAATGTGGAATTGGCTGAGAGAGTGGGGACGATTTTGCTTGAATTAGAGCCACATAACAGTGGCCGATATGCGTTACTGTCGAACATATATGCGAAGGCAGGGAGGTTTGATGATGTTGCTAAAATACGAAAGAAGATGAAGGAAAGAGGGATAAAAACATTACCTGGTGTCAGCACGGTTGATCTGAATGGTACAGTTCACGAATTCAAAATGGGCGACGGATCGCATCCGCTAATGAAGGAAATTTATAGCATGCTAGAAAAGATAAAAGAGAGGCTGCAGATGGCAGGTTATTCACCTGATACATCTCAAGTTTTATTTGATATTGAAGAGGAAGAGAAGGAATCTGCATTACAATACCACAGTGAAAAGCTTGCAATTGCTTTCGGATTGATTAATACCTTGCCGGGTAAAACCATTCACATAGTGAAGAACTTGAGGGTCTGTGACGATTGCCATTTGGCCATGAAGCTCATTTCTCAAATTTATAATCGAGAAATAATTGTGAGGGACCGTGTTCGTTATCACCATTTCCGAAACGGAACTTGCTCATGCAGAGATTTTTGGTGATCTATGACTCCAAAACAGTGTAAACACTCAATATCCGAGGAGGCATCTTAAGCACAGAAGCCTGTAGTTCAAAACTAAATATAAGAACCAAGTCAAGATTCAGATTACGTTTGAATTTTCCAGTCTGTGTTTAAAGTAGACAGCTGAATATACAGACTCAGTGCAACCAACTTCCCCTAGGCATAGATAAGTACACATCCTCATCCATCTATATCCTTAAAAATATATAATATTATTTTTGAAAGTTCTAAACCAAAGTAAATCATTAGTTTTATTTGATATGAAGAGGATCGCATCTGCAAATGCGACCTGAGCCTTATTACACATACCTTGCTTTAAAGTTGTAGTTCCCAGTACCTGCTTGTGTTGCCTCACAGTCTATTGAATTATAAGAAGTTTACATACAGGTATTAAAGCATAGCTAACCAAACACTGTTCCATGATATTACAAAAATTTTCTAGGTTGACAATTGCGAGTGTGTCTAAGCCAAACCGATTGAAGGGGGAACATAAATCGAAGGCTTTGCTCGTCCACTCTAATGATTGTTTTTATGATAGCGATCAAGTGGAGTGCATGAGCCACTTTAGAGATTGGGGTGAGTACTACCCAAGCTTGTAAGTCCAGTACAAAACGAGGTTGTCCATGAGCGTTAGAGACGGGTGAACAACATACTTAATCTATTCCCTCCCCACGTCCACTAGCCCTCCTGTCCCAAGCAAAGAGAAGGCCAAGTAGTTCCACGTTTCTAATCACTATCATTATTTTGATCATCATAACTGTAGCTCTTAACTGAAGTTTTGCTGCTTCTATTGCAAGGAACTGGACCAGCTCTTCGGTTTCGATCTTTGCTAGATGCCTTCCCGCTTGCAGGTTGATCACTTGGCTTCAGCACATTAGTTGCACCACTGCTAATCCCAACTTTCTTTGGCTTCACCTCCTCTTAAATGTATCATTTTTCAGAGCATGGTAGCAACACAACAGGAAGTAGAAGAACCAGCTCAACCTTCTTCAACCTATACTTCACAATTTGAATCCAAGAATGAAGGGATTGTAATACACGAAATGGCGATAGATATATCTATTAACTATAAGCGAACATGTGTTGCTCGCTTTGGCATATCTACTTTCCTTCTTTGTTATTCATACATGATGGAGAATTCTACACAACTGAAGCAGTGAATGTATGCTTATAAAATCAATGCTAAAGTTTGAACTATGACATACTATTAATCTACCTTTTGTTTCTGATCTTGTAATATCATCATGGTCATAAATTTATTTATCATTTCTAATGGGTTGAACAGATTCTTCCTGGGTAAACCATTCAGTTTACTTTCACCAAATGCAGTTTGCAAAGAGTAGCAAGGTGACTTGGGAGTGGCAAAGTTACAGTGTCATCAACCCATCAATCTAAGACACATAATTGTAAATTTCAAGTGTGTGGGCTGATATTTGTTCCATCTCCCATGTCCTAACAAAGAAGGGAAGCAGTCCAAACAGGGGAGGAGAGAGAAAAAGAGAGAGATATGAGCCTGAGAAATATAATCAAATGGTACCATGAAAGTGGATAATGCAAATGAAAGACAAAATAAGAGAAACCCATTTCTCCACCACTGAAAAAATTGTAGATTTCTATTGAAAAATAGGGTAAAAAAGAGGAGACAGAGAGACAGAAGCAGACAGGGACTGAACGAAATACCTGCCATACAATCCAAATAGAGTTGTAAAATGACAATAAAACCAGTCCATTTTGAGGAAATTCAATGGCGTTTTTGCCACATAACGAAATTCCCCTCCCCCGCCACTCACAAACCAAAAACAGTTCCATGGAAAGCTCCATGGCCTTGAGGTACCTCTCCCCTTCTCCTCCCCTTACACCTTCGCCCAGAATATGCTTCTTCTCAAATAAGCTAAGACCCACTTCAGTTCCTTATTGTCTTCTCGAATGGAGGTCAAAACGCTTCGTGGTTTCGCGGAAAATGGCGGTTAAAGCTTGCGTGAAGGTGGAGGAGACGAGTGCGCAGGAGAGCTCTTATAAGAGTGAATGGGGGAAGGTTTCGGCAGTGTTGTTTGACATGGATGGAGTGCTTTGCAATAGCGAGGACCTATCTCGAAGGGCAGCGGTCGATGTTTTCAGCGACTTGGGCGTTGAAGTAACCCCTGAAGACTTCGTGCCATTCATGGGGACTGGTAAATTAAGATGAACAGAAGTTTTGCTTTTGTTTCATTGGCCAAAGCTCACTTGGCAATTAATGAACAATGAGTGCTGCTTATACTTGTTTTTTTTTGACCCCCAAAGGAGTGAAATGAAGGGGAGGTAGAATTAAAGATAAAAATAAAAATAAAGATACAAACAAAGCAGATTTAGTATAGAGAATGAAAGGAAGATTAAACAATACATTAAAAAAAACCTCCCAATTCGAACAAATCGTGCTAGGAGAATAATTTGTAGAGAGATCGGAGAGAGCACACCCTTGTGAGACTTTGAACTTAGCTATATTGAAGCATTCGAAAGCTGAGTGGCTTTTCCCTTTGAGAGTCCTTTGATTATGCTGCTTATACTTGTTTTCATTGTGATCGAAGTATGAGATTTGTTGTGTCAAATTTGGGATTGTTTATTCGATTATACTAGTAGCGTTGTAAGTGAGGCTGTAATTTTGTATATAACATTGAAAATTGCTTACAAATCCAACTGTTTTGTTGGTATGGCGTTGGGAGTTGAAGCATATCATACAATGCTGCCACTATCATGGTTGGCCTAATGGTGATTATTGGGCAAGTAAAAGAAGTAAAGGGGATTTTGATATGAATCACATGGTGACCACCTATTTGGATATTATAATTCTACAAGTTAAAAATGTTGTATAGTTGGAAGGTTTTTGAAGATAGGTCCTCCTCTTTTGACCGCTTTTGTAATAATGTACAACTCAACTGCTTGGTCGTGTCATAGACGTAGGAAATTCTTTTATAGTTACAGCCTTTCTATGATTATTCGAGATTGGAGAGCTATTCTTAATTAGTTTTGGGAGGTTCTCTTCATCCCCTGCCCACATGCTGTTTCTGTTTTCTTTTTTTGTTTATAAAAGGTTTCTTACCAAAAAAAAAAAAAAAGTTTCCAATACATCATATGCAACTAGAAGTCTTCTCAATCTGCATCACCTAATGAAATGCATATAATATAATGTTGTAATTATTGTCTCTAGTACCGACAAATAGTTTGGACGTCCTAATTTCCAAAATATATTTATTATACCAGGTGAAGCAAACTTTTTAGGAGGTGTTGCCTCAGTAAAAGGGGTGGAGGGATTTAGTCCGGAGGCAGCAAAAAAGAGGTTTTTTGAGATATATTTAGAGAAGGTTATCAGTTTGCAACATTTCATTTCTTTTTCATCTGCCCGTTTCAGTAATATCTTTGCTGTATCTATTGCTAACATTCACCGTAATTGATTTTTTCGATATAATAGTACGCAAAACCCAACTCTGGAATAGGGTTCCCTGGTGCACTGGAACTCATTACTGAGGTATGTATTTATGGAATACAAGCTGCTTCTACTCGTTACTGCTACTATTATGATGATAATCATCATCATAAAACTTACTATATGAGTTCGGGACTATCATTAATAGTGTAAAAGCAAGGGCCTTAAAGTTGCTGTTGCATCCAGTGCTGATCGTATCAAGGTTGATGCAAATCTAGCGGCTGCGGGGTTACCATTGTCAATGTAAGTCTGATTGTGTGCTACACTTCAGTCTTTGGTTCTAATTTAATATTTCTTAATTCTGCAACTTTCTCATTTCTTGAATCAAGATACAAATTTAGAACGGTTACATACCAGTTAATTGAAGTGCTTTGATGATTCAATTAGAGAGCTTTAATCAATTGCTAGAAAAGCACTCTTGTTTGGTCAAGAATGAATGAACAAGACCAAATATAATTTTCAAGAGAAATTTAAAACATAAAATAAAAGTAATGACATTCTTAATTAGGTTCAGAAAGTAGTCTTGAAGAGAATAATCTAGAACTAAGTTAACTAGCTGAAAATATTTTGGCCCATGACATTCTCATGTTTTTGGAGTAAAATTTCAGTCCAAAAGGTCGGGACCCATAAAAATTTCAATATAATTTTTCTCTTTGACTTGTTTAAGATTTTTAATTATGGTTTTGTGTGCCTATCTTGTATAGGTTTGATGCCATTGTATCAGCTGATGCTTTTGAGAATCTGAAACCGGCACCTGACATATTCATAGCTGCATCGAAGTTGTTGAATGTGCCCTCAGACGAGGTACAAAGTTTTGTCACCTCTTTCTTTTTTTCGCCGCTCTCTCTCTCTCTCTTGGCCACCTCTTTCTTTTTATTCGCTGCTCTCTCTCTCTATCTGTCTCTCTCTCTCTCTCTCTCTCTCATGATTTGTATGCTAGTGTTAAAATTAAAACCATATGTTTATCTTTAAAAGATTGCTTTCCCAGGTGGTCTCTTGCAGAAAATTCCAATAATGTTGCCTTTGCTTTGACCATGAATGTTTTTTCTTCATTGTCTTCATTTATTTTATTTCTGTAGTCTCTGTCGTCAATCTGTATTATATATTTGATGCTACCCAGGTCATTTATTGGAACATGTAAATAATAAACATATAAGGTAGTGAAATTTCAATTAGCCGTATCCTTATGAAGGCTACCCAATCTTACAGATTCTTTTATGAATCACTATTAATTTTTGAGGAATATTTTGTAATGTTACGCTCTGATAATAGCCCTCTCACTTTCTGAGTACTACTTTACTTATCAAATGGTCAAGATTAGGTGTTTCAAGAACCAAAATATAACTTTAATGGAGATTAATATGAAAAAAATTAGTATAACTTAAGGGATCAAAAGTAGGATTTAACCAATTTTTAGTTTCTCTTTTGATTTATATAGATGTTCCATTTCTTTGATACTTCATTCCTCATCTTCTCATAATAATTCTTATTCTTTAGGCTAAGACGCTGGCTGATTAGCCCTTCCTTATTTAGTGGTTAGTGTTCCAAATTGTTTGTTGAAGTGTACCTCGTATATTTTTATAAAACAAGACTAAGGAATTCATTTTTCACGTATCATTTGACCTAATATACATATCATCTTTTTCCTGAACAATCAATGTTAATTCTGATTTTAATTATTGTCATTATTTTCCCAGTGCATTGTCATTGAAGATGCACTAGCTGGTGTGCAAGCTGCAAAAGCTGCAAAAATGAGGTACTAAACATTTTTGGATTCTCTCTCTATTGAAAGAAGTCAAATATTTTTCTTTTAATTCTCTTAGAGAAATGGAGAGTTGGGTGAGGTTAGTGCAGAGGCTGGACTCTTTTGTACTTGGAAGGGAACCTGATAAGGTAGTTTGGCACCTTGAGGGGGATGGACAGTTCTCTACTAAATCAGCTTTGTTGAATCTGATGGAAACTGACTCCCCAAAGTTGCAACTTGCAAGCCCCCCTAATAAACTTTATTTGGAAAGATTCTATTCCAAAAACGGTGAAGGTCTTTCTATGGACTTGAGCTTTCCTAGCCTCAAACACTTCCGAGAGACTTCAAAAGAAGTGCCCAAACTGGTCGATTTCCCCTTCGGTGTGTTGCCTGTGTTTGAGGGAAGTAGAATCCTTAAATCACTTGTTTCTTCACTGTACTTTTGCAACTAAAGGCTGGCAGGTTCTGTTTGATGTATTTGGGATAGTAGGCTGTATGCCGAGGAAGGTAGAGGATTGGAAGATGGAAAGATTTTTTGGATGGCATCTCAAAGGAAAGGCATATTTTTTGTGGAAGTGCACGTTCCGAGCGCTTCTTTGGAATCTACGGATGGAAAGGGATCTTCGCTCATTTGATGATAATTCTAAGTCTTTTGATTCTTTTTGTAATAGTGTACATATTAC